TTAAGCCTGCGCTGCGCTGCCGGGGCTGGCACTGTCGGTGCCTCGTGGGAGTCGGGGGAGCAGCGTGAGGAGTGCGGAGAAGAACAAATTAAAGGGTAGACCTCCCGCCGTGTCCCTGGACGGGGTGAGAGCTCGTCTGGGACGTGGAGCGCGGCCCCCTCCCAGGAGAGCCTGGGTCCTTGGGAGTGGTGGGAGCTTGTCTAGGACTCGGAGTGGAGTGTTCTCCGGAGAACGGAGCCCTGCAGTGTCCCTGGGTGCAGTGAGAGCAGCCTGGGACACGGAGTGGCATATCTCTCCGAAGAGATTGGGCCTACTTGCCGATATCGGCTGGGGTCTGTGAGAGAGACTGTCCCATTTGCTGATACGCGACAACTGTGGCGACCAGCGAGGTGGAGGCAGTGCCGGGGGCTTTAGCCGGCGGTGAGAGAGCCGGCGGGTCAGGTGTGAGCCGACTGGCGGTGTGAGAGCCGGGACCGAGCCCCTTCAGCTGCCTACCCCTCCCCCCCTTCTTCCCCTTCTACCCTATTCTACTCTTAAGATCTGAAGAGGCTGGGGTGTCAATCCCGGAGATCCATGTTACGAGGCCACTTGAACTGTGGCCGGGTCTTTAGCCCACGTGAAACACCGAGTGGGCAGGGACTCATGGAGCAGGACCAACCCCAACACTATTGGGACATAGTCGGCTGGAAGGGCCAAGAGCGAACTGAGGCCTACTAGGGTTGCCTGGTGGCCGGGTGGAGATCTATTCCTCACCAGAGCCCCCTAGTGCTGGAAGTGTGAAATTACCATCAATGTGAAGAACTGCGGCCAGCTTACTGGAACTTGGGGAGATTGTTGACCCCGTATTAGTGGGCCTACTGGAATTGTGAGTGCGTGTGTGAGTGTATGCGTGTATTTGGCTGTTGGAATGATTGCTGGGGTCTGAACTGGTTGTGGGAGTAGTACCCCGAATTTGGGTTTTCAGGAACCCGTTTTACATTGCATAGCACCTAATTGTCTTCATATTGCAGTTATTGGATTGACTAGTGCTGAGCGTTATTAGCTGGCGGTCTGAAGTTTCTACGGAGCCCGCCAGTTATTCAATGTTGGGGCAGCCAATTCCAGTGCTCTTGGGGAGAGGGAAGTATGGCGGTGGGTCACGGCAGAGTGTAGAGGG